CAACATAACATGTTAAGGACTAAAAATTTGTTATTAATATTGCATCTCTGCTGCTTCTTCTATGAGATTATGTTCATAGATTTGCTACCATTAAATGCACCATGAATAAAAGAAGGAAGCAGAGTAAACTAAATGCATGTAGTAAGTTAGATTTGGTGGATGGGCTGAAAGCTAAAATGCAGTTTCTAGTAACAAAGCCAGAATCCAACATACTGTTTGTACATGGTAGATTATTGTGAATATCATAATCACAAATTCTATAACCATTAGGGTTGTAGAGGCACAACATGTACTTCAACTATAATAGTTGTAGTGTGTTTTGGGCAAGATAGTCTGACAGAATCCAATCCTCTCCAGGCTGGTTTGAATTCAGCTTTTCTACTCTGCCACCCAAGGCTATAGAGAACAGCTTGTCCTGCTATTTATCCATAGCTGGTGGGGGAGAAGAGATGGATTCATGCCCTTTCCCAAGAGTAGATGTAAAAAAAACTCTACTGGAATTCAAACTCGTTGCCCTGATTTCTCAATCCAAGGTGCTATCAATTACTCCATCATGCCTCATCACTAATTTTCACTTGCTAAACTGGTGAATATGGTATCAGCAAAAACAGATGTTTGAAGACTAAGCCAGAAAGTAGAACACTACAGTAGTAATCATGAAAAAAAACATCTTTGATGTATATTGTCAGTCCAATTTGACGTAAGATCAAAATGATAAAAAAAGATCAAAAGCAAAAAGTAAAACATCAAAGTGGAGACACTTTCTTAGAGATAGCGTAAAAAAAAATGGATCTTTGCTGATGCAGTGGCTAAAATGACTCCAAGCCATATAGTCATTATGACAGGAAGAATAAGTATCACTTAACACCAGAATCAACCTAGAAACAATTACTTTTTTCAACATAATCTCCTTCCATGCCAATACTCTTTAATTTAGTGCTGAATATTAATCACGTTATTTATACTATTTATATTTGGACTATTGTCCTCATCTTTGTTGTTATCACTTTTCAGCTGTTGTGCCCTCCATTCTTTCTTGGGTGTATATCTATTTGGGTAATCTACAGGGAATTCTGAGCTGATTAGGTTGCAGCTGCTGCTGTCATGTTTTGATTGCTGCTGCTGTGGTTGAAGACTTGTCATTTGCCTTTAAATTAATCATAATGATCAAACATTATACTGTCAAAATTTCAGATCAAAATTCAGCTAATATTACTTATTCATCCTTTTTGTATTTCAGAAATTGTTAGTGATTTACAAAAACTGTTTTTCTCTTTTTTTTCTTTTTAATTCATTTCTCTATGAAGATGCTTTTATGCAACAGAAAATAAGCTAGCCTCACAAAGATTTCTTACTACTTCAACACAAAATGTTACATCTGGCTGCTACTCAGACTATCACATGAACTCTTGCTTTCCTTGACTACTTGATATGTTATTTATATCAGATTTGTGGATGTAGTAGTAGACACCAAATGTGTTCAGATATTTAACAGAAAAATGCTTGGCTCAATTTAGATGTGTGTTACTAAAAGGGTATAAAATTTGTAATAATAACTATACATCCTTGAAATCTGAAACTTTGCAAATTAGTAATTTGATATGTTTTTAATGGTGTGTAAATTTTATCAATCTCCATAAATTATGAGTTACTTAAATTTTGAAGTTGGTATCCATGCAGTTAGGATATAATATCTTATTAATATTCTTCAATAAAAAGATTTGTGGTTTGTTTTAAACTGATTAATAAATAGAATATGTTCTTATGTGTTTGCTATAATTTAAATCTAATTTGTTCATTTTACCAAATCCTAATTTTTATAGATTAAGTTTTTCTTCACAAATGTCATAAACTCTTTGTATTGATGAGGAAGCATACAGGAAGAACACCCTGTTTGACAGGAAACACTACAAGTATCTGGTGATTGGTATAGACATTGTAATAATTGCCATATCCTTTATGTCAATAAACCTGGAGAAAAAAATCTTTATATTTCGCAAAAGGAGCACACTTGATAGATTCCTATCCATGAACTTATCTCTATTATAGTACCATAAAGAAATGTTGTTCATTCATGTCTTCACTATATGAGGTTTCAATGGGAATGGATAAAAAAAATCATAGCAGATATTGAATATTTCAATGAAACCTCAGCTACCTTTGTGAAACCAGTGTCCATTTGAAATTGGTGATTCTGATATAAGTTCTAGAGAAATATGCAGTTCTATTATATGATCAATCAAGAACAACTGCTTTGCTATAGGCAGTTTGGTCTATTGAAATGAAAGCAAAAGCAATATGACTTAATCCCACAAAGTATATTATGTTCACCCATGGACCCTTAAAGTTGTCTATTTTCATTGAATTAATCGCTCTGATTTAACATTGAGCCCTCTGGATTTCATCCTCCTAGTGTTTATCCATACAGATTACCAAGTTTTTCATTACTTATATGCACACACACACACACACACTGGATGTTTCTCTAACAGCCATCTTGGAAAAGATTGGCATGTTGTCTTTACAAATGTTTTGCACTTTCTCTCAAAATCTAATATAAAATAGTTTAGCAAAATTTCTTGCTAATCTTGATGTTGAAATTTTTTTTTTTTTTTTCAGCAATAAAATATGAGGTTTTTGCTTGTTAATTCTAGTACAAATCTAAATTAAAGTTGTGCCAGTAATATGCATTTCAATTCAAGCTAGTGTCTGCATTTCAGTTAGTTGCACCACTGTGCACTTTCACTAATGTTCTGAAAGGAAAAGTTGAGATGAACAAATATTTCATCAGTTCCCAACTACAGAGCAAACTTTAATTTTTTTTTTTTTTTTTTTTTTTTTTTTTTTTTTTTGGCCATTGACTATATCTCTACTTTTTTAATGTTAGGATATACCCAAACAGCAGTAATTTGTGTTTGGTAGGTTCTGCAACATATATCTTTCGAGAAGTCTTTATTTGGTGATAAGTTTCAACTTCTACTTCTAGAATTTCCATGAAATCTTTTTAACCTTTTTGTTCATGTATCCTTTTTCAACAGATTTCAAAATGTCTTTCCATGTTGTTTAATATTCTACAAATTACATCAAAGAATTGTTGTTTGCAGAAAGATTAATATTCTATCAACTTGAATCTCCCAATCATTCATCCCAAAACTCTAAAGTTTTCTGTTTGGTTAAGAACCACTACTTTAAAGCATGTCTTCATCAATGCCATTTTCCACCTCTAAAGTTTGTCAGTATACAGGAGTCTGTAACAGATATTTTCTATTGAAAATATTGACTGACATCATTGTTAAAATAAGAATTGGTATTTCAGTAAAATAAAACTATTTATAAAAGCAACAACTGGTTCCCAATGTGCATCTCTATTCATTTTTTAACTAACTTTAACAATGACATTGTTAAAGTAAAAAATAAAAAAATATGAGTATTTAAAAAAAACAAAATACATTTTCCTTTTTTTTTTCCTTATTAGAACAAAGACCTAACCTTACTTCTTTTTCTTTTTAAATAATTAGCATGAGAATATTCTTGGTGATTCTAATTTTAAACTAAGCAAACTAGAGATTGCAGCCACTCAAATGCAAATGCTCTGAACTTTAAACTTCAAATATTGAAAAGGATTTCTCATTGCAACAGTTACTCAGTTAATAAATTTTATGCTGAAATTCAGGATAATGAAGCTGGATTTGTTATTTCTGCTTGGTACAAAAGTGTTTTTCCTCTCAACTAATAAGAAATAAAATAAAAAAAACTTAGGACTACATTATTGGTTGAGTTACACTATGTTCCTCTTTGGTCTTCAAGTTCCTTCAGACCACCATGGTTACCATCTAGCTTACTTCTCACTCATTGTTTGTCGCTGGTATCATGATGATGTGCACAGTACCACTCAACTAAACTGGCATTTGTCTGTTCACGACCATCTACTCCTCTGCCACGTTTTGTCTTTTCTTTATCTTGGAGGGTTTGGAGATCACTAATGAAGCAAAGAACAGTTCTACGGTGAGGCGCTGCACAAAAAAGAATTCTTTGGAATAAAGAATCAACTCTGGTTAAAAATGTAACAACAATTTGGTTTATATATGATTTGTTGTATACATCAGTTTTAACCCTCCCCACTTCTATTATAATCAAATGACACTGGGATCCTCTTTGGGGTTTGCAGATTGTGTTAATAGTAACTAAGGTCTGGTCTTCAGGGCTGGCACAAGACAAATGATGTGGATTCCAGTAGCAGTAATGTGGGGAGTCTGCAAGTTGTCTAAACCTACAGCTTATATGGAGTCCTGTATCCTTCAGGGGTGGGGTTGATCAGGGTCTGTGTTCAGTTGTTTTCCACCCTTAGCATCAACCTTTTTCTAAAATTTTATATTCTCAAAATAAATTTACTCAAGTGATTTCCCAAATTTGGGGTTGTCTAGCCCCCTTTTGAGAGTGGTCAGAGGAACCAAGCCATCCTTTAACTCCAACTTCCTTCATGGCTCATATCATGCGATTACTCCATATAGAGGGTGCTAATCTTTCTCTCTCTCTTCCTTCTCCCCCTTTCTTGGCATCTAACTCCAAGGACCAACACACTGTCCTGTGATGAATCCAAACCTTCAGAATATGTAGATGGAAAGCAATATTTTTTAAAATTTTTTTTTTTAATCTTTCTTCATCAGCTTGTCTCATGCTGTGATTTCCAAAAACCAGACACTTGTTCGGAGTCTATCCAGATGCCCTAAGTCCACACTTTTTTTTTTTTTTTTTTTTTTTTTTTTTTTAACTCTATTAACATTTTTTTTATCATCATAATTTAAGTGTACCATGAAAGTTTAACTATAGCTTCACATGTACTGTGTTATAAAAAGGTTGAAAAACATTGAGTGATATAGTTGTAGCAATAAAAATATGATCAGTTGTCTGAAAAAAGTTGGAAACAAGATTTAAGTTTTATAAAGATTACAAGATGAAGTACAGATTAATAAGAATTTTTTTTCTTTGAAATTTTTCAGGCCTAGTGTTGATCCAGTTGCATCTAATCCTGCAATGGAAGAAGCTGATTCAACTAAGAGGCCAGAATTTATCATCAAACCAAGAAAGCAATTTGCAGATGAAGGCAAAGTGGCCAAGTTTAAGGCTTCCTTTGAGGGTGTGGCTGATGTGCACTGGGAGCGACATGGACAACAACTTCAGATCAGTGATAAATATAAGGTGAGAAAATATTTTGGGCTCAGATTTTCAATACTTCATCCGTAAAAAACAAATTGAAGATAAATTGCTAGAATATTTATAGTTCCTATTTAAGATTTTAAAGAGATTTTGGCATTTATTCTTTGAGATCAGATTTTAAAAATGTTGCCACATCAATGTTATTAGAATGAATTTGTCTAATGAAAATCATTGTGAAGTATTCCAAAAAGGGATTGAAATTTTACGAGGCATTAACAATGAGATCATAGAAACATTTATCATATTGAATTTAAAAACATCAGGTATGAAAGGTATTTCACTTTCAGAAATAATTATGTTGTCTGATGATTGAGCCTAATTGGAATTCAACTCCATGCATGCATTAATTTAACTTTTTGTATTATTGATTGGAAATTAAGCTGTTTTTTTTTTTCTTTTAACAATTTGATTTTAGTTTCTGCTTTTTTATCTGATTATTTCCCCTTTTTTAATTTTTTTAATTTTCCAGGAATGCTTTTTTTTTTTTTTTCTTCTACGAAATTGTCAGAGATGAACAAAAGATGGTTGAAATTTGATAATGCATTGAGTAAATTTTTGTATTTTTTCTTAAAGGTTTTTTTTTTATAGACTCTGATAAAATTGACATATTCATCAAATTCTACTGTTTCCACATGTGACCTCAAATGATTTATTCTTTCTAAACTCTGATCATTGAAGTTAAGCAATATTGAGCTTGCTGATGGGTGATTATTTGTGAATACCAGGTGCTGCAAACTAGAATGTGTAAGTGGAAAATGGATATGGAAAATGCCTCAAAATGAAAAATCAGAGAGATAAGGTTGAATTCCAATTAGGTTCATTACATTCATTTATGTGCAAGTACATTTGGGAAAGGTATGAAATCACCTCTTCTTCAGCTATGATTTAAATAGTAAGGCTTTTATCTTAAATTCTTTATCATCTCACTCACAAAAAATGAAACAATTATTTTTGCAATCCAAAAAATTTTCAGCTTCAAATAACATACAAAAGGTTGATAAGCCATTTAAAAAAAAAAAAAAAATATATATATATATATATATATCAGTCAGTCTTTCTAAATTTTGAAAATCCAGTGTAATTTTATATGGGACCTACCACTATCAACCTTTGACTAATTGGGTGTGTTTCTCCCCATTTGAATTTCATTTGACCTTGTTTTCTTTGACCAGAAATAGATCTCTTGGAACATCATGATTTTGGAGAGTACTATTTTTAAGTGTTTAATATGTACCAAAAGTTAATGATTTTCTGTTAATTTTATCAGTGAGGAAACTTTGTCATATTTTGTAGTGTTGTTATTTGATTTCATCGATTTGTTTATGGCCACTAATTAATTAAATTCATAATGCAGTTCTGGAAAACTTTTGAAAGTTTGTCTTTCTCTGTTTTGCAGTCAGCTTCGCACATAAGAACTGGGAGAATGTCTATTTCACACACACATATATATATATATATATATATATATATATATATATATATATATATGTACGAATACAAGATTGGTATAGCTGGAGTAAACTTTCAGTAACCAAAAACACTATTTTAAAAAATGTGTTCAATACAGAGTAGAATGAATAATATTTATTTCAAAATTATAACATAAGTATATTATAATATCACTACAAAAATAACCATTTTGTTTCAACAATTCTGGTGTCCTGAAACAAAATTGGTATTTTTGTAGTGATATCATAATATACTTACATTATAATTTTTAAATACACACACACACACACACCTTAAAATTTGTCCTTCTCTTAAGGTTAGAAAACATGGTCTACCTTGCTATTTAACACCTAAGGGAGAAGAGACATATTAATGCTTTTTGTACAGGCATTTTTGTGAAAGTGAGTGCAACAGACCAACTTTTTAAATTGATTTTTTTTTTCAGTCAACTTATAAAGAATTAGTAAATATTTAAGGATGTATGTATTTTATCTGAATGCCTTTCTTTTTTTTTTAGGAATGGATCTTTTTAAGGCCTATACTCTTTTTAGAGAGCATTAATATTATCAGTTAATAATTGACTTTAAGCTGCACCAGTAGATTCTAACACCTTGCCTTGTGGCCAGTACACTCCTTTCAATATGACTAACTTTCAATCTTGTTTCTGCGCAGTTGGCAAGAAATATCAACTAAGAATAGTCACTCAAAGACATCTTGTTCTCAGACTCATCCTTGAAATTTCTTTCACTGCTACTTCCTTATCTCTTTCATGCATTGCTTGCCTAGATACCCCAAATATTCTTGGGATCAAGGGTGGGTAGCTAATCTACACACCTCTCTTCTGCTTACGTGTACCACACCTGATTCTCTTCTTAGTTCCATGACATATGCTTCTTTACTAATTCCAAAGATTTTACAGTTCTACGTGTGGCTTTTCTGGGTTTTTTTTTTTAAGCTGCTGCTTTGCGCCAAATGTTTCATGTTTTGGCAGGGAATCAAGGAATGAGACACAAGCAATGCTGATCACTGGAGATGAGGTAGAGAAAGTATGGGTAGTGGGGGATCTTCTAGAATGTTTTATCATGGAAAGAAGAAAATTGACACGTGATGGGATAAATTTCTTTCTACAAAGTGTTGAATAAAAAAAATGATTTTATTTAATTACATATGATTAAAAGATGACAACCAAAATTGTTTCTCTTCCCATCCTGCTTTCTGTTTCACTTTTTATGCTCAGTAACAAAAACGATGGGACCCTATTTTCATTACTTTTCATTGCTTTTGTAACAAAGTTAAGCAGCGTCAGCCTGGTTCAATATTTAGATAGGTAACTGCTTGTGAACACAGGGTACTAGAAACAATCTCTTAAAATCTAAAATATTTTTCACCTTTAAATAACCAATGTATTTGTATACCTTTGTACTCCATCAGTTAGAAGTAAGTTCCACTTGAACAGTTGTTTGAACTACTTTGTGTAACTGACTCCCAAGAAGATGCTTCCCCGATCACTAAAATCTTAACCTGTTCAAGTCAGGATTAACCATTATCTTCCACCACATATCCTCTGTAAGCAGTGCCTCTTACTCTGTAAGCCTCTACCTCGAGTGGCTCTTGGGCCTTGTACCGGATGAACATTATTGTAAAAAAAAAAAAAAAAAAATTGATGTCCCATAATAGATATTATTGTTTTACATGATCCAAATGGCATCAAATTTCATTTTTTGACTACATCTAATTTTTTTCTTATACTATGTAATATTGTCTACTATTTCTAATTTAATCTTAATCATTATTTATACAATATATTAATTATAAATACAAGTGTGTGTGCTCATATCATTATTAGATATCAAGGTGTCACAAAGCAACCTGTAATTTTATGCTCTGTTTTTTAAAAAAAAAAAGGATTTATTTTGGCTTTTGTCCAAGCAGCTTCACAAAAGGAATGTTGACGTCAATGAAAACTGTTGAGGTGTTTAAAGAATGAGTTCTGAAGCAAAGAAATCTGAATATGCCAACAAATAAAGGTCAGATGTAAAATGGTTTCTAGAATTACGATTACTCTGTTCTGCTTTGACTAATAAAGGATTATTGAAGAATGATAATATCTGCTTAAATTCTCACTTGAAACCTGCTATCTTTTATAATCTTGTAAATGTTAGCAAGGTGAGTTGTTAGCGTTTGGAAGAGGATTAAAACATACAAAAAACTGATTCATTTTAGCATTAAACACATTTGAATAAATCAGATATCTTTCTTCTGCATGTGTTTGAATTAATCAAATGAAAAGTAAATAGTGCAATTTGAAAAATTTATTCAAAATAAACTATTATTTATTGCACTGATATATTATAATTCTAGTTATTCCTTAGTGAATACACTGTGCCCAGCCAGTACCTCATAAATATATTATTCCATTCTGATCGCAAGGAAAGACATATCAGAGACACTATTTAGTTTCAGGGAGGAAAAGAAATAGAGAAGACAATAATGCCTTTGTTTTTCACTTAATGTCTGCTCGAGTGAAATGAAAAAAAATGTAAATTTAAAATCTTTCCATTTGTATCCATTTACTTTAATGACCCGCATTCATACTTATGATTTTCATTGCAATATTTTGTTTAAGTTGTGAAAATCAAATATTTAATGATGCAATAGGGGGATTTCTATGGGTATTTTGTAGTCAGAACTTTGAAGGAGCTTATTCAGTCATTAACTTAAGAATTATGATCCATCATAAAATTCAAGTAGGAAAACTGAAAAAAAATCAAAGAACAAAATTGTATGCTTTTTTTTTTTTTTGTATTTTATATATACCAGGTGTAACAGCAAAATTGTCCAAATCATGTGACAGCATAATTGTCCATCCTACAAAAATAAGTTTAAAAAAGTGAATGTTTAAAAAAAGAATGAATAGTAGAGAGGAAGACTAGATCAAGAGGTCACAATAGGAAGAGGGATCATTTCAACTTAGAGCTAAAGAGATCAATTGGAAAAGATCCAACTCAACTCATAAGATATTTTATCATGTTGAAGAGGAGTTTCAGCTATGACAGTCCAAAGAGCAATGAAAAAAGACTTTAAAATGAAATCATATCTGAAACGTGTGAGGTACCTTCTTGCTCCAGGACAAAGATCATCTTGATTAAGCTGAAAAAAAATGATCCTGGAATATATATATATATATATATATATATATATATATATATAACATTATTTCAATACTTTATAAGCTTCCTATCCTTAGCGATGATTAATTAATGATGAACATGTCATTTTCATTTATGAGCGATTTCATCACAATATTCTGTTAAGCATAGCGAGTAATTATACGTTCTTGTTGCTCAAAGTAGTCCAATAGCATTATAAAAACCTTGGGAATTCCAGTAAGATATCTTTAATCATTTCTAAGATACAACAGTTCAGTACTTAATCTAACAATCGGACAATTTTGCTGTTACACCTGGTGTGTGATATATATATATATATATATATATATATATATATATATATATATATATATATATATATAT